TTCCCCCCCCCCCCCCCAGGGACCTGCTGCGCATGGGGGTGACGCTGGCCGGGCAGCAGAGCCTGCAGAGCCCCCCCAAAGGGGACCCCCAGTGCTGACACCGCCCCCGGCCCCGCCCACGGCAAGATGGCCGCCGGGAGCGGCGCTAAGGAACAAAGATGGATGGGGGAGCAAGATGGCTGCTGGGACAACATGGCTGCCGGGACAACATGGCTGCCAGGGACAACATGGCTGCCACTCCAATATGGCTCCCATTCCAAAAAGGCTGCCATTCCAACATGGCTTCCAATCCAACATGGCTGCCAGGGACAATATGGCTGCCAGGGACAACATGCCCGCCACTCCAATATGGCTCCCATTCCAACATGGCTGCCATTCCAACATGGCCACCAATCCAACATGGCCGCCAATCCAACATGGCTGCCATTCCAACATGGCTGCCAGGACAATAAGGCTCCACCCACCAATGACCCGCTGGGCGGGGCCTGCATGGGGCGATCCCAGGGGCGGAGCCCGCGTGGGCGTGGCCAACACAGGTGTGGTCAGCGATGGGCGTGGTCACCGACGGGTGTGGCCCCGCTGCTTTTATTGTCCCCAATTCCGGTCACAGCCAATAAACGCGGCCGATGCAAATGAGGGGGCGGGGCCGTCCCCAGGGCCACCTCCCAGATCCGCCCTTTGTCCCCGAGTGTCACCAAGGGCCACCGTCTCCATGCTGTCCCCGCGTGTCCCCATGCCATCCCCGCGTGTCCCCTCGCTGTCCCCTGGTGTCCCCTCCTTGTCCCCTGCTGTCTCCATGCTGTCCCCGCGTGTCCCCATGCCATCCCCGCGTGTCCCCTCGCTGTCCCCTGGTGTCCCCTCCTTGTCCCCTGCTGTCCCCGCTGTCCCCAGCTCGGCCACCAGCGCCGCCAGCGTGTGTGCCCCCCGGCCCAGCAGGACGTGGCGGAACGGGGACACCAGAGGGGACACGAACGGGGACAGCAGCGACGCCTCGGCCTGCGGGGACAGGGGACAGCCTCAGGGGACACAGGGGACAGAGGGGACAGGGGACAGGGACAGCGTCAGGGGACAGGGACACAGGGGACACGGGGGACAGAGGGGACAGGGGGACACGGGGGACATGGGGACACGGGGGACATGGGGACAGGGACAGGGGACAGGGTTAGGGTGAGGATAGGGACAGGAGGACAGGGGACACCCAGGGGCGGGGCAGGTGACACTCAGGGGGGCCAGGAGACACTTGGGTGATGCCCAGGTGTGACAGCCGGTGACCCCAGGTGACCCAGGTGACACTCAGGTGACCCAGGTGACCCCAGGTGACCCAGGTGACCCCGGTGACCCCCAGGTGACCCCGGTGACACTCAGGTGACACTCAGGTGACACCAGATGACCCCAGGTGACACTCAGGCGGGGCAGGTGACACTCAGGGGGGCCAGGAGACACTTGGGTGATGCCCAGGTGTGACACCCAGGTGACCCCAGGTGACCCCGGTGACACTCAGGTGACCCCAGGTGACCCCGGTGACCCCCAGGTGACCCTCAGGTGACCCCGGTGACCCCCAGGTGACCCTCAGGTGACCCTCAGGTGACCCTCAGGTGACCCCAGGTGACACTCAGGTGACACTCAGGTGACACTCAGGTGACCCCAGGTGACCCCAGGTGACACTCACGGCCATGAGGCGCGCGTTGAAGCCGCGGTTCAGGCGCTCGTCGCCGCTCTCCGACCCCGACATGTCGCGACGCAGCGCGGCCGCCGCGCGCACCACGCCCCCTCTGGCCGAGGAGAGGCACTGCAGGGACAGCCCCCGCGCCTGGGGGGGGGACTGGTTATACTGGTTAGACTGGTTATACTGGGATGGACTGGTTATACTGGTTATACTGGTTAGACTGGGATGGACTGGTTAGACTGGGATGGACTGGTTATACTGGGATGGACTGGTTATACTGGTACAGTGGTTATACTGGTTATACTGGTTAGACTGGTTAGACTGGGATGGACTGGTTATACTGGTTAGACTGGTGATACTGGTGATACTGGTTATACTGGGACATACAGGTTATACTGGGGGCACTGCTTATACTGGTCATACTGGGAGGAACTGGGGTGAACTGGGATGTAATGGTTGTACTTGTTATACTGGTTATACTGGTTATACTGGTTATACTGGGTTATACTGGGGTGGGGTGCCCTCCCAGTCCCTCCCAGTGCCCCCAATTCCCCCCATTCCCTCCCAGTGCCCCCTGGGATGGACTGGTTAGACTGGGATGGACTGGTTAGACTGGGATGGACTGGTTAGACTGGGATGGACTGGTTAGACTGGGATGGACTGGTTAGACTGGGATGGACTGGTTAGACTGGGATGGACTGGTTAGACTGGGATGGACTGGTTAGACTGGGATGGACTGGTTAGACTGGGATGGACTGGTTAGACTGGGATGGACTGGTTAGACTGGGATGGACTGGTTAGACTGGGATGGACTGGTTAGACTGGGATGGACTGGTTAGACTGGGATGGACTGGTTAGACTGGGATGGACTGGTTAGACTGGGATGGACTGGTTAGACTGGGATGGACTGGTTAGACTGGGATGGACTGGTTAGACTGGGATGGACTGGTTAGACTGGGATGGACTGGTTAGACTGGGATGGACTGGTTAGACTGGGATGGACTGGTTAGACTGGGATGGACTGGTTAGACTGGGATGGACTGGTTAGACTGGGATGGACTGGTTAGACTGGGATGGACTGGTTAGACTGGGATGGACTGGTTAGACTGGGATGGACTGGTTAGACTGGGATGGACTGGTTAGACTGGGATGGACTGGTTAGACTGGGATGGACTGGTTAGACTGGGATGGACTGGTTAGACTGGGATGGACTGGTTAGACTGGGATGGACTGGTTAGACTGGGATGGACTGGTTAGACTGGGATGGACTGGTTAGACTGGGATGGACTGGTTAGACTGGGATGGACTGGTTAGACTGGGATGGACTGGTTAGACTGGGATGGACTGGTTAGACTGGGATGGACTGGTTAGACTGGGATGGACTGGTTAGACTGGGATGGACTGGTTAGACTGGGATGGACTGGTTAGACTGGGATGGACTGGTTAGACTGGGATGGACTGGTTAGACTGGGATGGACTGGTTAGACTGGGATGGACTGGTTAGACTGGGATGGACTGGTTAGACTGGGATGGACTGGTTAGACTGGGATGGACTGGTTAGACTGGGATGGACTGGTTAGACTGGGATGGACTGGTTAGACTGGGATGGACTGGTTAGACTGGGATGGACTGGTTAGACTGGGATGGACTGGTTATACTGGGATGGACTGGTTATACTGGTTATACTGGTTAGACTGGGATGGACTGGTTATACTGGGATGGACTGGTTATACTGGTACAGTGGTTATACTGGTTATACTGGTTAGACTGGTTAGACTGGGATGGACTGGTTATACTGGTTAGACTGGTGATACTGGTGATACTGGTTATACTGGGACATACAGGTTATACTGGGGGCACTGCTTATACTGGTCATACTGGGAGGAACTGGGGTGAACTGGGATGTAATGGTTGTACTTGTTATACTGGTTATACTGGTTATACTGGTTATACTGGGTTATACTGGGGTGGGGTGCCCTCCCAGTCCCTCCCAGTGCCCCCAATTCCCCCCATTCCCTCCCAGTGCCCCCAGTGCTCCCCAGTGCCCCCAGTGCTCTCCCCCCAGTGCCCCGCGTCCCCAGGCGGGACAGCGTGTCCTCGGGTGTCCCCAGGGCCGCGTGGGCACCGCCACCTGAGGGGACACACGGTGACACAGAGTGACACGGGGTCACACACGGTGACACACGGTGACACTGGGGACACTCAGGGACACCTGAGGACACCTGGGGACACTCAGGGACGTTTTGGGGACACTGGGGACACCCAGGAATACCTGGGGGACACCTGAGGACACCTGGGGACACTCGGGAACACTCAGGGACGCTTTGGGGACACCCAGGAACACCTTGGGGACACCTGGGGACACTCGGGGAGACTTGGGGACACTGAGGACACTCAGGGATGCTTTGGGGACACTTGGAAACACTCAGGGACACCTGGGGACACCCAGGAACACCTTGGGGACACCTGAGGACACCTGGGGACACCTTGGGGACACTCAGGGACGCTTTGGGGACACTGGGGACACCCTGGGGACACTGGGGACACCTTGGGGACACCTGAGGACACCCTGGGGACACCTTGGGGACACCTCGGGGACACCCTGGGGACCCTGAGGACACCTTGGGGACACCTTGGGGACACTGAGGACACCTTGGGGACACCTTGGGGACCCTGGGGACACCTTGGGGACACTGAGGGGACCCTGGGGACACCTGAGGACACCCTGGGGACACCTGGGGACACCTTGGGGACACCTGGGGACACCTGAGGACACCCTGGGGACACCTTGGGGACACCCTGGGGACCCCGGGGACAGCCGGCCCCACCTCGTCGAAGGCCAGCTCCAGCGCCGGGACCCCCGCGGCCGCCGTGAAGGGGAAGGCGCCGCCCTGGGGGTCCAGGGGGCGGATCCTGCGGGGACAGGGGGGCGCGGTGGCACCGGGGGACACCCGAGCTGTCCCCGGGGTGTCCCCAAGTGACCCCAAATGTCCCCAAGTGCCCCCCCGCTCACACGTCACTCTCCCAGCCCCGCCCCGGCCGCGTCAGCTGCTCCAGGAGGCTCCGCCCCCCCTCGTTGGGGCTCTCCACCTGTGGGGGGAGGGGGAGGGGGTGTTCAATTTGGGGAGGGGGTGGCGGCGCCCCTCCCCCACCCCCCCCAGCCCCTCCCCCACCTGCTCCA